TCTCCCTCCTGAAAGGAGATAGTCGTCTCTGTAGTATTGGTGGGGGATGGGGCCTCTTGGGTTGGAAGGGGTGGTTCAGGACAGTCCAATTGTCTTTCAAATCTACAGTAGAACTCGTTCAGGTCGTTGGCTAGGCGGGAGTCGTTAGTGGTGTGGGGGGCTCTGGGTTTGTAGTTGGTGATCTGCCTGAGCCCTCTCCAGACAGAAGCAGCGTCGTTTGTAGAGAACTGGTGTTTTAGTCTCTCTGAGTACAGTCGTTTAGCCTCTCTCACCGCTTTGCTAAACCTGTTCTTCGACTCCTTGAATCTGTCTCTATCTCCACTCCTAAACGCTTCCTCCTTCTCCAACCTCAACCTTCTGAGCTTTGCTGAGAACCAGGGCTTATTGTTGTTAAAGTACACCCTGGTACGTGTTGGGATACAGCAGTCCTCACAGAAGCTGATGTAGGACGTCACAGCCTCTGTGAGTTCATCCAGACTATTGGTAGCAGTCGTGAACATATCCCAGTCAGTACAGTCTAAGCACGCCCGCAAATCTTCCACAGCCTCACTGGTCCACTGTTTAGATGTCCTCACAGCAGGTTTACAGAGTTTTAGTTTCTGCCTGTATGTAGGAATCAGGTGGACCATGGCATGGTCAGAGTGTCCTAGTGCTGCTCGGGGGACGGCGTGGTAGGCTCTACTGACTGTAGTGTAGCAGTGATCCAGAGTGTTCCCTTCTCTGGTTGGGCATTTAATGAATTGTATGTATTTGGGGAGTTCGTGGCTGAGATTACCTTTGTTAAAGTCGCCAAGTACGATAACCAACGAATCTGGATTTGCTCGCTCCACACTCAGAATCTGATCGGCGAGCATGCGTTGGGCCTCTTTAACCTGAGGACAAGGCGGCAAATAAACTCCGACCAAAATGAGCGACGCGAACTCGCGAGGCGAGTAAAACGGTTTACAGGTTATAAAAATTGATTCAAGGAGTGGAGAACAATGTTGCAGAATCACTGTGACATCTACACACCAGCCACTGTTAATGTAAAAACAAATACCACCGCCTTTCGTCTTGCCGGAGAGTGCTATGTCACGATCCGATCTTACAAGATGGAATCCTGCTAGTTGTAGCGAAGTGTCCGGAATCAAATCACACAGCCATGTTTCCGTGAAGCACAATGCAGAAGCTGAAAGAAAGTCTTTGTTTTGTGCCGGAGGAGGAGGTCACGGGACAGACCCAGCAGGTGCCATGGGTTGACTGCTGTGCCAGGCTAGGTGCAGGAGGAGGAGATCACGGGACAGACCCAGCAGGTGCCATGGGTTGACTGCTGTGCCAGGCTAGGTGCAGGAGGATGAAGAGGTCACGGGACAGACCCAGCAGGTGCCATGGGTTGACTGCTGTGCCAGGCTAGGTGCACGAGGAGGAAGAGGTCACGGGACAGACCCAGCAGGTGCCATGCGTTGACTGCTGTGCCAGGCTAGGTGCCGGAGGAGGAGGTCACGGGACAGACCCAGCAGGTGCCATGGGTTGACTGCTGTGCCAGGCTAGGTGCAGGAGGAGGAGGTCACGGGACAGACCCAGCAGGTGCCATGGGTTGACTGCTGTGCCAGGCTAGGTGCAGGAGGAGGAGGTCACGGGACAGACCCAGCAGGTGCCATGGGTTGACTGCTGTGCCAGGCTAGGTGCAGGAGGAGGAAGAGGTCACGGGACAGACCCAGCAGGTGCCATGGGTTGACTGCTGTGCCAGGCTAGGTGCAGGAGGAGGACACGGGACAGACCCAGCAGGTGCCATGAGTTGACTGCTGTGCCAGGCTAGGTGCAGGAGGAGGACACGGGACAGACCCAGCAGGTGCCATGGGTTGACCGCTGTCCCAGGCTAGGTGCACGAGGAGGTCACGTGACTGCTGTGCCAGGCTAGGTGCACGAGGCCCTGAAATTGGCACGAGGTGGGTGTGTGAACGAGGTGGGTGAGTGGACGAGTGGGTGGGTTAGTGAATAAGTGGGTGAGTGAAATAGTGGGTTAGTGAATAGGTGGGTGAGTGAACGAGTGGGTGGTTTAGTGAATACATGGGTGAGTGAACGAGTGGGTTAGTGAATAAGTGGGTGAGTGAACGAGTGGGTTAGTGAATAAGTGGGTTAGTGAACGAGTGGGTTAGTGAATAAGTGGGTTAGTGAACGAGTCGGTTAGTGAATAAGTGGGTGAGTGAACGAGTGGGTTAGTGAATAAGTGGGTGAGCGAACGAGTGGGTTAGTGAATAAGTGGCTGAGTGAACGAGTGGGTTAGGGAATAAGTGGGTGAGTGAACGAGTGGGTGAGTGAATAAGTGGCTGAGTGAACGAGTGGGTTAGTGAATAAGTGGCTGAGTGAACGAGTGGGTTAATGAACGAGTGGGTGAGTGAACGAGTGGGTGAGTGAACGAGTGGGTTAGTGAACGAGTGGGTTAGTGAACGAGTGGGTGAGTGAACGAGTGGGTGAGTGAACGAGTGGGTGAGTGAAAGAGTGGGTTAGTGAACGAGTGGGTGAGTGAACGAGTGGGTGAGTGAACGAGTGGGTGAGTGAACGAGTGGGTGAGTGAACGAGTGGGTGAGTAACGAGTGGGTTAGTGAACGAGTGGGTGAGTGAACAAGTGGGTTCGTGAACAAGTGGGTTCGTGAACGAGTGGGTTAGTGAACGAGTGGGTGAGTGAACGAGTGGGTGAGTGAACGCGTGGGTGAGTGAACGAGTGGGTTAGCGAACACGTGGGTGAGTGAATTAATGTGTAGTGATATAGAATTCGCTATGTAGCAGCGTAGCGCTGACTTCTGGCGGCGACGGGGATCCGCAGCTTACAGCAGCCCTGACATCAGCAGGCCCGGTGACAGACCAAAGGGGGATCTCGGGGAAAGGAAACGGAAGGGACACACCAGGAACCCGCGGGTAGGTTCAAGAAAGGGGGCGTGGCCGGGGGCGGGGCCAGGCCACGCTGACGGTATAAGAGGGGCCCTCGAGAGAGGACCTCGGTCCGGGCTGTCGTTTGAAATGGGATCCGCGTCGTGCTGCTAAGTCCTCACCGTCGTCTCCGTCTTCACCATCTCGGCGTCGGCACACAGGCAGCCTACCAGCTGTCCTGACTGGCAACCGTAGTCGACTATAGACGGATTATTTAGAAAGTGTTAACCCGTTGGCGTTAATAAACAGGGCGCCTCCAACTCTTGAAGTGTCTCCGGTTCAGTCGCTACGAATTCATGAGTGGGTGGGTGATTGGATCGGTGGGTGGGTGAGTGAATCAGTGGGTGGGTGAGTGAATCAGTGGGTGGGTGAGTGAATTAGTGCGTGGGTGGGTGAGTGAATCAGTGGGTGGGTGAGTGCATCGGTGGGTACGTGAATCAGTCGGTGGGTGAGTGAATCAGTGGGTGGGTGATTGAATCAGTGGGTGGGTGAGTGAATCAGTGGGTGGGTGAGTGAATCAGTGGGTGGATGAGTGAATCAGTGGGTGGGTGAGTGAATCAGTGGGTGGGTGAGTGAATCAGTGGGTGGGTGAGTGAATCAGTGGGTGGATGAGTGAATCAGTGAGTGGGTGAGTGAATCAGTGGGTGGGTGAGTGAATCAGTGGTTTGGTGAGTGAATCAGTGGGTGGGTGAGTGAATCAGTGGGTGGGTGAGTGAATCAGTGGGTTGGTGAGTGAATCAGTGGGTGGGTGAGTGAATCAGTGGGTGGGTGAGTGAATCAGTGGGTGGGTGAGTGAATCAGTGGGTGGGTGAGTGAATCAGTGGGTGGATGAGTGAATTAGTGGGTGGGTGAGTGAATCAGTGGGTGGGTAAGTGAATCAGTGGGTGGGTGAGTGAATCAGTGGGTGGGTGAGTGAATCAGTGGGTTGGTGAGAGAATCAATGGGTTGGTGAGTGAATCAGTGGCTGGGTGAGTGAATCAGTGGGTTGGTGAGTGAATCAGTGGGTGGGTGAGTGAATCAGTGGCTGGGTGAGTGAATCAGTGGGTTGGTGAGTGAATCAGTGGGTGGGTGAGTGAATCAGTGGGTGGGTAAGTGAATCAGTGGGTTGGTGAGTGAATCAGTGGGTGGGTGAGTGAATCAGTGGGTGGGTGAGTGAATCAGTGGGTGGGTGAGTGAACCAGTGGGTGGGTGAGTGAATCAGTGGGTGGATGAGTGAATCAGTGGGTGGGTGAGTGAATCAGTGGGTGGGTGAGTGAATCAGTGGGTTGATGAGTGAATTAGTGGGTGGGTGAGTGAATCAGTGGGTGGGTGATTGAATAAGTGGGTGGGTGAGTGAATCAGTGGGTGGGTGAGAGAATCAGTGGGTTGGTGAGTGAATCAATCGGTGGGTGAGTGCATCGGTGGGGGGGGTGAGTGAATCGGTGGGTACGTGAGTGAATCAGTGGGTGGGTGAGTGAATCAGTGGGTGGGTGAGTGAATCAGTGGGTGGGTGAGTGAATCAGTGGGTGGGTGAGTGAATCAGTGGGTGGGTGAGTGAATCAGTGGGTGGGTAAGTGAATCAGTGGGTGGATGAGTGAATCAATGGGTGGGTGAGTGAATCAGTGGGTGGGTGAGAGAATCAAATGGGTTGGTGAATGAATCAGTGGCTGGGTGAGTGAATCAGTGGGTTGGTGAGTGAATCAGTGGGTGGGTGAGTGAATTAGTGGCTGGGTGAGTGAATCAGTGGGTTGGTTAGTGAATCAGTGGGTGGGTGAGTGAATCAGTGGGTGTGTAAGTGAATCAGTGGGTTGGTGAGTGAATCAGTGGGTGGGTGAGTGAATCAGTGGGTGGGTGATTGAATCAGTGGGTGGGTGATTGAATCAGTGGGTGGGTGAGTGAATCAGTGGGTGGGTGAGTGAATCAGTGGGTGGGTGAGTGAATCAGTGGGTGGGTGAGAGAATCAGTGGGTTGGTGAGTGAATCAGTGGGTCGGTGAGTGAATCAGTGGCTGGGTGAGTGAATCAGTGGGTTGGTGAGTGAATCAGTGGGTGGGTGAGTGAATCAGTGGGTGGATGAGTGAAACAGTGGGTGGGTGAGTGAATCAGTGGGTTGGTGAGTGAATCAGTGGGTGGGTGAGTGAATCAGTGGGTGGGTGAATGAGTCTGAGGAGGAGGCGGAAGGTGGAAGAGGTTGTGGAGGAGGTGCACCCCTGACACGGCCATTATGATCCCAGACCCCACACAGCACTGACAATCGAAGGCACCAAACACCACAAAGTCTGCAACGTCATTTCACTTCCTGCTGTCTGTATTTGCCATGACAATATTTACAATAATTATTTACAAAGCTATGAAATTATTTACAACGCGATACATAATGGGGTGGGTGGGTGGGTGGCTGGGTGGTGCTGCTTGTGGTGGCAGCTGGCACCGACGCCACCACCACCACCACCACGACCCCGCTAATGCGCCATGGGCCGGCCACCACAAATCAGCAGGCGGCGGAGGAGCGAGCGGAGCGCGCTGGCCACCTGCGCCAGGCACGCCCCTTGCTTCTTCTTGCTCTGCGGATGCTGCACCTCCTCCGCGTCCACCTCCTCCGCCTTCTCTTCAAGCTCCTTCACCTCCTCGTCCAACTCCACCACCACCTGCTCCGGCTCCACCACCACCACCTCCTCCTCCTCCTCCATCTCCTCCATCTTCTCCACCTCCTCCGTACCCAACTCTGCCTTCCCTTCCACCTCCTTCACCGCCACCTCTTCCGCCCCCACAAACTCCGTCCACTCCACATTGGTGTAGATGAGCGGTGAGAACGATGAGGATGATGAGGAGGAGGAGGAGGAGGATGATGTTGATGGGGGCATCTCCTCCGGATCAGCTCTGTGGAGGTAGCAGCAGCACCACAGCAGCACGGCGCCACCACTTTAGCCTCTCGCTACAATAGCCAGAGGCCGTAGTCGCTCTGCATCATCACCGCCACCACCACCACCACCACCAGATCCTCCCGTGGGTGGACTAACGGACTCAACGCACGGTGGCGGATTTAAAAACAAAATCTAAAACTATCACTCTATTTTACCGGGTGTAAGAAGCGACCTGGCCACCACGAGAGATAGCAGCTCGATCAAGTGGCTGATATCACCGTGGTCATCATCATCATCATCGCGTGGAAATGTAGACACACCCGAAGAGACCCATGCAAAAACTAAACTCTTTTTTTTATTTCACCAGGTCTAAGGCTTCCACAGAGCTACTGTGTAGCCCTCTTTCAGAAGGCCCACACAGAGACCCATAGAGATGCAGAGACTCGTATAGAACCATAGACACCCACAGAGACCCGCAGAGACCCATGCAAAAACTAAACTCTTTTTTTTATTTCACCAGGTCTAAGGCTTCCACTGATTTTTGTAGCTCTTGATCAGAAGCAGCGTCGCCATCGCAAATGATGGCTCAAGGCAGTGGCTGATATCATCGTGATCATCATCCCCACGTAAGAAATGTATCGCAGCCAAACACTCTAACCGCGTGGTGATGTCGATTCTAAATGTGGAGGTGAAAACCCGGAGGGACCCGGAGAGAACCCACGTAGGTACGACCACGGGCAGAGAGACAGACAGACGCAGACTTCAAATATACAGCAGCAGCGGCAGGCGTCGTCAGCGGTCGGGATCGAGCCCATGAACTCCTGCGTACCGGGAAAGGGAGTCGACATCTCGTCCCCAACACCCCCAGCCCTATGAGCACACAGAGGGAGTCTCACCGTGGATCAGAAACCCCAGAGGCCTGCAGAGCACCAGCAGTGCTGATGATGACATTGGCTTCCCTGGAGGTGCCGGCGGCAGCGGCGGCGGCGACGGCGGTGGTGGTGGTGGTGGTCATGGGGTTGAGCCTTTGGCTTGTGAAGGTGCCCGTGCCGATTGGGGGGCGCTTCAGGATGAAGCATCTCGGTTTTTCCTTCTTGTTCAGGCAGCAGTGGCGGACCTGATGATCTGTAGAGAGACAGAGAGACAGAAAGACTCAGACACCGACCCACTTACCCACCCACGTACCGACCCACTCGCCCATTCACCCACCTACCAACCCACACACGTACCGACCCACTCGCCCATTCACCCACCTACCAACCCACCCACGTACCGACCCACTCGCCCATTCACCCACCTACCAACCCACCCACGTACCGACCCACTCGCCCATTCACCCACCTACCAACCCACCCACGTACCGACCCACTCGCCCATTCACCCACCTACCAACCCAACCACGTACCGACCCACTCGCCCATTCACCCACCTACCAACCCACCCACGTACTTACCCACTCGCCCATTCACCCACCTACCAACCCACCCACGTACCGACCCACTTGCCCATTCACCCACCTACCAACCCACCCACGTACCGGCCCACTCGCCCATTCACCCACCTACCAACCCACCCACGTACCGACCCACTCGCCCATTCACCCACCTACCAACCCAACCACGTACCGACCCACTCGCCCATTCACCCACCTACCAACCCACCCACGTACTTACCCACTCGCCCATTCACCCACCTACCAACCCACCCACGTACCGACCCACTTGCCCATTCACCCACCTACCAACCCACCCACGTACCGGCCCACTCGCCCATTCACCCACCTACCGACCCGCCCACGTACCGACCCACTCGCCCATTCACCCACCTACCAACCCACCCACGTACCGACCCACTCGCACATTCACCCACCCACAAGCCCAGCCACAAGCCCACCCACCCACCCACCAACTAGCCCAGCCACCCACCAACTCACCAACACACCCACCAAACCCACAAACCCACACACCCACTCACCCAACTACCCAATCACCTACTCACTCATTCACTCACCCACAAATCCAACCACTCACCCACTCACTTACTCACCAACAAAACCCACTCACTCATTCACTCACCAACAAACCAACCCACCAACCCACCAACCCACCCACCCACCCACCGACCCACCCACCGACCCACCCACTCACCGACCCACCCACCCACCCACCGACCCACCCACCAACCCACCCACCCACCGACCCACCCACCCACCGACCCACCCACCCACCGACCCACCCACCCATGACATGAATGCCCAGAGCAGCGTCGTTGTGTTGTGCGGCGTTCATGGCGTCTCTCGCTGTAATCCACAGGGTCTCTGTGTGGAGAGCGGTGGGGGGGGGGGAGAGGGTCACAACACAAACTCACCTCGTCACCACAAACCCACAACACAAACTCACCTCGTCACCACAAACCCACAACACAAACTCACCTCGTCACCACAAACCCACAACACAAACTCACCTCGTCACCACAAACCCACAACACAGACTCACCTCGTCACGACAAACCCACAACACAAACTCACCTCGTCACCACAAACCCACAACACAAACTCACCTCATCACCACAAACCCATAACACAAACTCACCTCATCAACACAAACCCACAACACAAACTCACCTCATCAACACAGACTGACAACACGGACTCACATCATCAACACAGACTCACACCATCTACACAGACACACAACACAAAGTCACATCATCAACACAGACTCACATCATCAACAAAGACTCACATCATCTACACAGACACATCAACACAGACTCACATCATCAACACAAACTCACATCAACACAGACTCACATCAACACAGACTCACATCATCAACACAGACTGACATCACAGACTGACAAAACAGACTCACATCATCAACACGGACTCACATCACAGACTCACATCATCAACACAGACTCACAACACAGGCTCACATCATCAACACAGATTCACATCATCAACACAGACTGACAACACAGAATCACATCATCAACACAGACTCACATCATCAACACAGACTCACATCATCAACACAGATTCACATCGTCAACACAGACTGACAACACAGAATCACATCATCAACACAGACTCACATCATCAACACAGACTCACATCATCAACACAGACTCACATCATCAACACAGATTCACATCATCAACACAGACTGACAACACAGAATCACATCATCAACACAGACTCACATCATCAACACAGACTCACAACATCAACACAGACTCACAACACAGATTCACAACACGGACTCACAACACAGACTCACAACACAGACTCACATCATCAACACAGACTCACAACACAGACTCACAACACAGACTCACATCATCAACACGAACTCACAACACAGACTCACAACACAGACTCACATCACCATCACGGACTCACAACACAGACTCACAACACAGACTCACATCATCAACACGGACTCACAACACAGACTCACAACACAGACTCACATCATCAACACGGACTCACAACACAGACTCACAACACAGACTCACATAATCAACACAGACTGACAACACAGACTGACAACACAGACTCACATCACCAACCACAGACTCACATCATCTACACAAACTCACAACACGGACTGTGCATCAACACAGACTCACATCATCAACACAGACTCACAGCACAGAGTCACATCATCAACACAGACTCACATCATCAACAAAGACTCACATCATCTACACAGACTCACATCATCTACACAGACTCACATCAACACAGACTCACATCAACACAGACTCACATCGTCAACCACAGACTCACATCATCAACACAGACTCACATCATCAACACAGACTCAAATCACAGACTCACATCATCAACACAGACTAACATCATCAACACAGACTAACACAATCAACACGGACTCACATCACAGACTCACATCATCAACACAGACTCACATCATCAACACAGACTGACATTACAGACTGACAACACAGACTCACATCATCAACACAGACTCACATCATCAACACGTACTCACATCACAGACTCACATCATCAACACAGACTCACATCATCAACACGTACTCACACCACAGACTCACATCATCAACACAGACTCACATCATCAACACAGACTCACATCATCAACACAGACTCACATCACAGACTCACATCATCAACACGGACTCACATCACAGACTCACATCATCAACACAGACTCACATCATCAACACGGACTCACTACACAGACTCACATCATCAACACAGACTGACATCACAGACTGACAACACAGACTCACATCATCAACACAGACTGACATCACAGACTGACAACACAGACTCACATCATCAACACAGACTCACATCATCAACACAGACTCACATCATCAACACAGATTCACATCATCAACACAGACTGACAACACAGAATCACATCATCAACACAGACTCACATCATCAACACAGACTCACATCATCAACACAGACTCACATCATCAACACAGATTCACATCATCAACACAGACTGACAACACAGAATCACATCATCAACACAGACTCACATCATCAACACAGACTCACAACATCAACACAGACTCACAACACGGACTCACAACACAGACTCACAACACAGACTCACATCATCAACACAGACTCACAACACAGACTCACATCATCAACACGGACTCACAACACAGACTCACAACACAGACTCACATCATCAACACGGACTCACAACACAGACTCACAACACAGACTCACATCATCAACACAGACTCACAACACAGACTCACAACACAGACTCACATCATCAACACAGACTGACAACACAGACTGACAACACAGACTCACATCACAGATTCACAACACAGACTCACATCACAGATTCACATCATCAACACAGACTCACAACACAGACTCACATGACCAACCACAGACTCACATCATCTATACAGACTCACATCGCCAACCACAGACTCACGAAACAGACTCACATCACCAACCACAGACTCACAACACAGACTCACAACACAGAGTCACATCACCAACCACAGACTCACATCATCTACACAGACTCACAACACAGACTCACAACACAGACTCACAACACAGACTCACATCACCAACCACAGACTCACATCACCAACCACAGACTCACAACACAGACTCACATCACCAACCACAGACTCACATCACCAACCACAGACTCACAACACAGACTCACAACACAGACTCACATCACCAACCACAGACTCACATCATCTACGCAAACTCACAACACAGACTCACAACACAGACTAACATCATCAACACAGATTCACATCATCAACACAGACTCACATCATCTACACAGACTCACAACACAGACTCACAACACGGACTCACAACACAGACTCACATCACCAACCACAGACTCACAACACAGACTCACATCATCAACACAGACTCACATCATCAACACAGACTCACAACACAGACTCACATGACCAACCACAGACTCACATCATCTATACAGACTCACATCGCCAACCACAGACTCACGAAACAGACTCACATCACCAACCACAGACTCACAACACAGACTCACAACACAGAGTCACATCACCAACCACAGACTCACATCATCTACACAGACTCACAACACAGACTCACAACACAGACTCACAACACAGACTCACATCACCAACCACAGACTCACATCACCAACCACAGACTCACAACACAGACTCACATCACCAACCACAGACTCACATCACCAACCACAGACTCACAACACAGACTCACAACACAGACTCACATCACCAACCACAGACTCACATCATCTACACAGACTCACAACACAGACTCACAACACAGACTCACATCACCAACCACAGACTCACAACACAGACTCACATCACCAACCACAGACTCACAACACAGACTCACAACACAGACTCACAACACAGACTCACATCACCAACCACAGACTCACATCATCTACACAAACTCACAACAGACTCACAACACAGACTCACATCATCAACACAGATTCACATCATCAACACAGACTCACATCATCTACACAGACTCACAACACAGACTCACAACACGAATTCACAACACAGACTCACATCACCAACCACAGACTCACAACACAGACTCACATCATCAACACAGACTCACATCATCAACACAGACTCACATCATCAACACAGACTCACAACACAGACTCACATCACCAACCACAGACTCACATCATCTACACAGACTCACATCACCAACCACAGACTCACGACACAGACTCACATCACCAACCACAGACTCACAACACAGACTCACAACACAGAGTCACATCACCAACCACAGACTCACATCATCTACACAGACTCACAACACAGACTCACAACACAGACTCACAACACAGAGTCACATCACCAACCACAGACTCACATCACCAACCACAGACTCACAACACAGACTCACATCACCAACCACAGACTCACATCACCAACCACAGACTCACAACACAGACTCACAACACAGACTCACATCACCAACCACAGACTCACAATACAGACTCACAACACAGACTCACAACACAGACTCACATCACCAACCACAGACTCACAACACAGACTCACATCATCTACACAGACTGACAACACAGACTCACATCACCAACCACAGACTCACAACACAGACTCACATCACAGACTCACAACACAGACTCACATCACCAACTACAGACTCACATCACAGACTCACATCACGGACTCACATCATCTACACAGACTCACAACACAGACTCACATCACCAACCACAGATTCACAACACAGACTCACATCATCTACACAGACTCACATCACGGACTCACATCATCAACACAGACTCACAACACAGACTCACATCACCAACCACAGACTCACATCACGGACTCACATCATCAACACAGACTCACAACACAGACTCACATCACCAACCACGGACTCACATCACGGACTCACATCACGGACTCACAACACAGACTCACAACACAGACTCACATCACCAACCACAGACTCACAACACAGACTCACATCACCAACCACAGACTCACATCACGGACTCACATCACGACTCACAACACAGACTCACAACACAGACTCACATCACCAACCACAGACTCACAACACAGACTCACATCACCAACCACAGACTCACATCACGGACTCACAACACAGACTCACAACACAGACTCACAACACAGACTCACAACACAGACTCACAACACCAACCACAGACTCACATCACGGACTCACAACACAGAGTCACAACACAGACTCACATCACCAACCACAGACTCACAACACAGACTCACATCACCAACCACAGACTCACATCACGGACTCAAGATCATCAACACGGACTCACAACACAGAATCACAACACAGACTCACAACACAGAATCACAACACAGACTCACATCATCTACACAGACTCACATCATCTACATAGACTCACAACACAGACTCACATCACAGACTCACATCACAGACTCACATCACCAATCACAGACTCACAACACAGACTCACAACACAGACTCACATCACCAAACACAGACTCACAACACAGACTCACAACACAGACTCACAACACAGACTCACAACACAGACTCACAACACCAGATGTGAGTACGTGTGTATCAACACGTACTCACATCACAGACTCACATCATCAACACAGACTCACATCATCAACACGTACTCACACCACAGACTCACATCATCAACACAGACTCACATCATCAACACAGACTCACATCATCAACACAGACTCACATCACAGACTCACATCATCAACACGGACTCACATCACAGACTCACATCATCAACACAGACTCACATCATCAACACGGACTCACTACACAGACTCACATCATCAACACAGACTGACATCACAGACTGACAACACAGACTCACATCATCAACACAGACTGACATCACAGACTGACAACACAGACTCACATCATCAACACAGACTCACATCATCAACACAGACTCACATCATCAACACAGATTCACATCATCAACACAGACTCACAACACAGACTCACATCATCAACACAGACTCACATCACCAACCACAGACTCACATCATCTACACAGACTCACATCACAGACTCACATCACGGACTCACATCACAGACTCACATCACGGACTCACATCACAGACTCACATCACGGACTCACATCACGGACTCACAACACAGACTCACATCACAGACTCACATCACGGACTCACATCACGGACTCACAACACAGACTCACATCACAGACTCACAACACAGACTCACATCACAGACTCACATCACGGACTCACAACACAGACTCACATCACAGACTCACATCACAGACTCACAACACAGACTCACATCACAGACTCACATCACGGACTCACATCACAGACTCACATCACAGACTCACAACACAGACTCACAACACCAGATGTGAGTACGTGTGTATCAACACGTACTCACATCACAGACTCACATCATCAACACAGACTCACATCATCAACACGTACTCACACCACAGACTCACATCATCAACACAGACTCACATCATCAACACAGACTCACATCATCAACACAGACTCACATCACAGACTCACATCATCAACACGGACTCACATCACAGACTCACATCATCAACACAGACTCACATCATCAACACGGACTCACTACACAGACTCACATCATCAACACAGACTGACATCACAGACTGACAACACAGACTCACATCATCAACACAGACTGACATCACAGACTGACAACACAGACTCACATCATCAACACAGACTCACATCATCAACACAGACTCACATCATCAACACAGATTCACATCATCAACACAGACTCACAACACAGACTCACATCATCAACACAGACTCACATCACCAACCACAGACTCACATCATCTACACAGACTCACATCACAGACTCACATCACGGACTCACATCACAGACTCACATCACGGACTCACATCACAGACTCACATCACGGACTCACATCACGGACTCACAACACAGACTCACATCACAGACTCACATCACGGACTCACATCACGGACTCACAACACAGACTCACATCACAGACTCACAACACAGACTCACATCACAGACTCACATCACGGACTCACAACACAGACTCACATCACAGACTCACATCACAGACTCACAACACAGACTCACATCACAGACTCACATCACGGACTCACATCACAGACTCACATCACAGACTCACAACACAGACTCACAACACAGACTCACATCACGGACTCACATCTCGGACTCACATCACGGACTCACGTTCCCACCTGTCTGAGTGGTAACGCTCGGATCACGACGACCACGACGGGGAGCAATCTCAAGAAGCGGCCGTTTGCTGCGCACGTGACCAGGGCTCTGACGACACTTCCCACGACGTCACGTAACCCCGCCCCCAAGTCGATGACGGCGCAATGCTCGCCACGCCCACCGGCCCCGCCCACCACCCCAGCCAACCGCCCCCGTCCCGCCCCCCAGCCCCGCCCACCGCCACAGCCAACCGCCCCCGTCCCGCCCAACAGCCCCGCCCCACCACCCCATCCAACCGCCCCCTTCCCAACAGCATCGCCTCCACCAACAGCCACCGCCCATCGCCACGCCCCCAATTACCGCCCCGCCCCCATCCCCCGCCGCTACTTCCGGTTTGTCAGGCGCGAGGTCTCCGCCTCCTCGCCCCCCCTAGGTCGACTCAGCCTCAAATGGGCACGCCGGTGCCACGTGCGCGGTGGTCAACATCGCCAGCACTGTGGGAGAGACAAAGGCGGCCGGGCGGGCGTGGTGCTGGCCACCCACCCCCTCCTTGTATGTGTGTATGTGTGTGAGTGTGTGTAAGTGAGTGTGTGTGTGTAAGTGAGTGTGTGTGAGTGAGTGTGTGTAAGTGTGTGATAGTGAGTGTGTGTGAGTGTGTTTAAGTGAGTGTGTGTGAGTGTGTGTAAGTGAGTGTGTGTGATAGTGAGTGTGTGTGTGAGTGTGTGTTAGTGAGTGATAGTGAGTGTGTGTGAGTGTGTGTGAGTGTGATAGTGAGTGATAGTGAGTGTGTGTGAGTGTGTGTTAGTGTGTGATAGTGAGTGTGTGTAAGTGAGTGTGTGTGAGTGTGTGTAAGTGAGTGTGTGTGAGTGTGTGTAAGTGAGTGTGTGTGAGTGTGTGTAAGTGTGTGTGTGTTAGTGTGTGTAAGTGAGTGTGTGTGAGTGTGTGTAAGTGAGTGTGTGTGAGTGTGTGTAAGTGAGTGTGTGTGAGTGTGTGTGAGTGTGTGATAGTGAGTGTGTGTTAGTGTGTGTAAGTGAGTGTGTGTTAGTGAGTGTGTGTGAGTGTGTGTAAGTGAGTGTGTGTGAGTGTGTGTAAGTGAGTGTGTGTAAGTGTGTGATAGTGAGTGTGTGTTAGTGAGTGTGTGTAAGTGAGTGTGTGTGAGTGTGTGATAGTGAGTGTGTGTGAGTGTGTGTAAGTGATTGTGTGTTAGTGTGTGTTAGTGAGTGTGTGTTAGTGTGTGTTAGTGTGTGTGAGTTAGTGAGTGTGTGTGAGTGTGTGTTAGTGTGTGATAGTGAGTGTGTGTGAGTGTGTGTAAGTGAGTGTGTGTTAGTGAGTGTGTGTTAGTGTGTGATAGTGAGTGTGTGTGAGTGTGTGTGAGTGTGTGTTAGTGTGTGTAAGTGAGTGTGTGTTAGTGTGTGTTAGTGAGTGTGTGTGAGTGTGTGTGAGTGTGTGTGAGTGTGTGTAAGTGAGTGTGTGTTAGTGAGTGTGTGTGAGTGTGTGTTAGTGAGTGTGTGTTAGTGTGTGATAGTGAGTGTGTGTGAGTGTGTGTAAGTGATTGTGTGTTAGTGAGTGTGTGTGAGTGTGTGTAATTGAGTGTGTGATAGTGAGTGTGTGTTAGTGAGTGTGTGTTAGTGTGTGATAGTGAGTGTGTGTTAGTGTGTGATAGTGAGTGTGTGTAACAGATTGTGTGTTAGTGAGTGTGTGTTAGTGAGTGTGTGTTAGTGTGTGATAGTGAGTGTGTGTGAGTGTGTGTAATTGAGTGTGTGTTAGTGAGTGTGTGTTAGTGAGTGTGTGTTAGTGTGTGATAGTGAGTGTGTGTGAGTGTGTGTAAGTGATTGTGTGTTAGTGAGTGTGTGTGAGTGTGTGTAATTGAGTGTGTGATAGTGAGTGTGTGTTAGTGAGTGTGTGTTAGTGTGTGATAGTGAGTGTGTGGGAGTGTGTGTAAGTGATTGTGTGTTAGTGAGTGTGTGTGAGTGTGTGTAATTGAGTGTGTGATAGTGAGTGTGTGTTAGTGTGTGATAGTGAGTGTGTGTGAGTGTGTGTGTGTGAGTCCGGCAAAACAACCCCCTACCTCCTTGCGGTGCCGGACGGGCAACTCTGTCGTGGACAGCGCTGTGGGGGGAGATCCAATTTTGATTGGCTCCTCCCCTCATGGCATATGTGTCCACCACAGGGGCTAAACGGGGGCTCTGGACGGGTGCGAGGGGCTGGTAACCCCTCCACCTTCAATTAATTACCACGAAACTACGAATTAAACTGAAATATGTAACAACTAAGCTTGTGCCGGAGGCCCCGGGGGGCCAGGCGTCTATGACGTCTCCTGGCCAAACCCCAATTGGCGGAGCCAGGAGATTGAATACCTACCCTCGGGGCTACTCCAGAAACAACGAAAAGCCACTACGGTTGGCCACGTGGAATGTTCGAACGCTCACTGCAGAGGAGAGGCTGCCACTCCTCTGTCGGGAGCTGGACCGGTACCGCCTGGATCTATGCGGCATTCAGGAGGTCCGGTGGACCGGCTCTGGCTCCTGCCACCATGAGGGGTGGACAGTCCTCTACTCGGGGCAGCAGACTGCCAAACAACAGGGTGTGGGTCTTCTTTTGAACAAAAGAATGAAGGGGGCGTGGGAGCGTGGCGGTGAGGTGTGGGAAGCTGTAAGCCCCAGGCTACTTTGGGCTCGCCTTCCCATCAACCGGAGGCAAGGAATGGTGGTCGTGGTTACTTATGCCCCCACCGAAGATGAACATCCGTGGAGGGATGCAGGCAAAGCCGATGAGTCAGATGCCTTCTATGACCTCCTGTCACAGGTGCTGGCTAAAGTGGCCCCTCGGGATAGAGTCATCATGTTGGGTGACTTCAATGCCCGAGTTGGTCATGATACTGGCACCTGGTCTGGAGTGATTGGAGGGCATGGGCCAGATCAGCTCAACAACAACGGTAGGAGGCTGCTAGATTTTTGTGCAGCCCATGGGCTTGTAATTACCAACACGCTGTTCCGGCATCGGCGCATCCACACAACATCATGGATGCATGCCGGGTCCAAGCAAGAACATCTGCTGGACTACATAGTGACGGACCAGCGAATGCGAGCCCATGTCCTTGACACCAGGACCTACCGTGGAGCTGATCTGCCCTCTGACCATCGACTAGTCATCTGTAAGATGCGCCTGCCATTCTTCCACTCCGGTGGTGGGTGTACACCCAGGACCCCATTCCAACCTAAAGTGGCCTGGTCTCAGTTATCTGATGAAAGTTGCAAGCGAGAATTTCATCATCGCTTGCGGCTGGGATTGGCATCGTCCCCGACTCCTCCTGATGTCGAGGGTAAATGGGCGAGGTTTAGGACTGTGACTCATGCAGCTGCAATGGCTGCTTTGGGTACGCGGTCCAGACCTCCCCAGACACCCTGGATGACAGAGGAGTTGTTCAAGATGGTTGAGAAAAAGCGACAGGCCCACTGTCATCGGCTACAGAATCCCACGTCAGAGAATGAGGAGGCTTACCGCAGCCTTCGCTCGGAGGTTCGGAGAGCCGTGAGGCGCTGCAAGGATGGGTGGTGGTCGCGGGTTGCTGAGGAGATGGAGTCTGCCTCAGTGGCCCGTGATCACAAATCTCTATTTAACTCCATCAAAAAAGTAACCTGCAGCGCCACACCTATTACCATCATTAGGGGAAAAAACGGTGATCCAATTTCCGACCCCCAGGAACAGGTTCGCAGATTTGCTGAGCATTTCTGTGAGGTCCTGGGGGAGGGAAAATCCCTCAGCCAGGAAAACATCGTGGCACAAAGTGAGGATGACCCTGCTGAGGCTGCGGTGCCTCAAATATTGGATGAAGTCACCCCCTGTGAGTGGCTGGCTGAGGTGCCAGCTGCTGATGAAGTATTGAAGGCGATCCGGAGTCTAAGACCAGGAAAGGCAGCGGGCAGAGATGATCTCCCAAGCGAAATGCTGAGGGAGGGTGGCGTTTGTGCACAGACTGCCCTATATGACATCATAACAACAGTCTGGACCACTGGACGGGTTCCGCAGGATTGGAAGGATGCCCTGGTGGTCCCCCTTTTTAAGAAGGGGGACCGCACAGACTGTAACAACTACAGGGGCATCTCACTCCTCAGTGTGCCGGGAAAGGTCCTGGCAAGGATTATTCAGCATCGCCTTGCCAGGCACGCTGAGGAGAGGCTTGCGGAGCCCCAATGCGGTTTCAGGAAAGGGCGGTCCTGCACAGATGCCATATTTTCTGTCCGTCTGCTACAGCAGAGGTGTAGGGAATTCCAACAAGACCTACATCTCTGCTTTATTGACCTGGTCGAGGCCTATGATACCATCAGTAGGCCTGGGCTCTGGGTCGTTCTTCGTGCTTTTGGAGTACCTGACCCTCTGCTCACGATCATTAAGAACCTTCATGATGGTGAGCGGGCCCGGGTAAAACTACGTGGCCGGGAGTCAGAGCCATTCCCTGTACACCTTGGGGTGCGACAGGGATGTCCTCTGGCTCCCACATTATTTAACATCTATTTTGACCACGTAGTTCGTGAAGCCTTCAATAGCTGTACCGGGGGAATCTCCATATGGTACAGATATAATGGGAGGCTAATCGATGCCCGGGTGCGGTCAAGGGATGGCTCCCTATTGCTCAACCACGTTATGTATGCTGATGACTTGGTAATAGCTGCTCAGTCAGAGGAGGAGTTGGAGACGCTGCTGCTGAGCGTGCCACTAAGAGGTGGGGCCTTACCATCAGCCCCACCAAAACTAAGCACCTGCCTGGGTATTTTGTACCATCGGACACTCCACCCCCACAACTCCCAATCGGTGATGGGGCAGTTGTGGAGAGAGTGGAGAGTTTCCCATACCTGGGCAGTGTGCTTACGACTGGCTCCAGTTTAACAGCAGAGGTCTCACTCCGAATCAGTCGAGCGGCAATATCTTTTCATCGGTTGCGTAATGCTGTGTGGAAGCTACCTGGTCTGTCGCTCCGCACTAAGCTTCAGGTCTTCTCGGCCACGGTCATTCCCTCCCTTCTCTACGCTTGCGAAACGTGGACCCCCCTAATGGAACATCTTCGCCGGTTAGAAACATTTAGGCTGGCCTGCCTACGATCCATCCTGGGTTTAACCAGACTGGATTGTGTGAGGAGCTCACAAATCCTTGAAAGATCTGGGCAGGGT